ATATATATATATATATATATATATATATATATATATATATATATATATATATATATATATATATATATATATATATATATATATATATATAAACAAAGATCCAGCAGCCTGCCCCAGTTGGTAAGGCATGCAAGTGGCTTTCAGGAGGTCTTGGGTTCAAATCCCCATTGGCCTCATACACCCTTCCTGGGCAAGCGTGGCCCCCTGCCACCTAGAGATTGACCGTTGTTCCCCCCATGCGGCATTGAGCAGAGACTGCTGAATCAGATGTTCATAGGGATAGGGAACCAGAGTGGCCCATCGAAGAAGCCCGGCTGACCCCTGCCCGGTGTCGCCCACCTGCTGTATCAGGTATCCCACCTGCTGGTGGGTGCAGCTCCCGCATGTTCCCTCAGCTCGTTGGAGGCATGAACTCGGATGTGGCTGCTAAGGGGTTCCCCCTAATACGATAACGACTAGCTCGGTCCTGATGCTACCCGCTGGACCTGGCTGGCATTGACAAGCTCGGTCCTGATGCAACCACCTGACCCCTTGCTGGTATAGCCCACCTGCTTTATTGGGTATCGCACCTGCTGGTGGGTGCAGCTGAGGCACGTTCCCTGGTTGGAGGCTTGAACATGGATGTGGCTGCTATGGGGTTCCCTGTAAGAATAAAAATACTATAATGACATTTAGAAAAAAGGCTTGAAAGGCTGTCCTGTCCCAGATTCGCAGGTAATTGAAAAGAAATAGCCTTAAAAGAAGAGGGGAAAAAAGCAACAACGCTCCAATCTATTAGTGAGGAGCTGCACCTGGGGCGAGGCCCCATTAGCAAAGAGGGTTGGATTAAGAGCCAGGATCTGAACTTCTTTAAACCGCCAGTACCTTTCTCATACATCAGCCCTGGGCCCTGCGCGCCAAGCTCGGCCGATGTATCTGGCCGCTGCCACCAGTACCTTGCAGCCTCCGTGTTAACCAACCATTCACAGCTGTAGTTCTTTTGTAGGGGGGGAAGGCACTGGCCGTTTTAATGCAGAGATGCAGAAAAACAGATCAATCGCATGTCTCTGCACCTCTCCTCTAACCCATCGACATTTTCGGCATCAAAGCCAATCTTCATTGTTGTGGGACCTGGGATCTGTATCTGGTGGAAACAGTGTTCAGCCTACCATAGAAAAACACTTAGCAAAACCGAAAAAGAAGAATGAGAGAGGCAGAAATCAAGGTAAGACACCCATACCCTAGTGGTTTAGGGTGCAAGGTTGGGGGCACTGGTGGGGGCCCAGCTAACACAAGGACCAAACTTCTTCTTTTTTTTTCTCGAAAAAGCACTTTTCCTTATATGGAAAAAAAGGGGGAGGCCGGGAATCCCTCCACAAACAACCCGGAAGGCAAATACTGGGACTATTACCCAGCTTAGGTTCAGGCGTTGGGAAAAGGTCCAGTGGCAGGAATGGCCAATGCAAGACCTCTGCCCCGACGGAAAACCCAACCCTCTGGTCACACTGAGGTAGGATAGTAGGAATAGGGGATGCGCTAGGAGTATTGACGTGAGGATGGGATGGGTGGTGGCCTCGCCTCCTCAGAGCCACCACGGCTGACCGCTTCCGGCTATCAATGTGTGCCTAGTAACTGGCCTCTACAACACCCTGGACTTGAAAAAAAAAAAAAGAAAAAAAAAAGGAAGGACCGAACATTTGCTAGTAGCTGCTCGTCCCTTTTCATCTTCCCCCAACCCCATCAAGCAACAGCAGTGTCTAAGGCCAACGCTCTCCCACACACCACATGCAATGCACTCAAGCTGGCACTCGCACCCGTGTTGGCTGAAGACCCTACCACACTCACACCTGTGTTGGCTGAAGACCCTACTACACTCACACCTGTGTTGGCTGAAGACCCTACTAATACCAGCTGGGAGGATCCAGCTGTCTATGTCAGTTGGTTGGCACCAAGCATACCGCAAGAGGCCATGGGATTGAATCCACAACCTCCTCAAATGCCACTTGCCTGCCTAACGGATTGAGTTAGGCCGCTGGGGCAAAAACATGCAATTACCTCCCTCCACCGAGAGAGCTGACCTACCTTCACCACGATGTATGCTTGCAGGGGTCCCCTTTATAGCCTTAGGACTATAAAGGGGTAGAGAGCTCATATAGCCTTAGGGCCAGATCCCACTGGCAGAGAGGATTGGAATGAGTGTCTGAATCTGGACGCAAGGTGCAGAAAACTGCGATTGATCTGCTTTTCTGCATCTCTGCCTGGAACGCGTCCAGATTCAGACACTTATTCCAATGGTCCTTGCCTACCTCCCTTCACCACGAGTGGTAGGTAGATTAAAATTAAAAAAAAAGGGAAAGAAGAAAGAATTTTTTTTGTTTTGTAAAGCTATATTCTTCTCTCATCTATCTCATTTTTTCTTGCTAGTACTCATCCTCTCACTAGTCTATTTATAGTACGGGGGAACACCAACCAACCCGGATCTCTCCCCAGCCCACGGGGTAGGTTGGCACCACAGCAGTGGTGCGAGAGCAAGGCTGTACCAGTCCCTCATCACCGTGACGAGGGGTGTGCAGGCATTGCCGATGGGGGAAATCGGCGGTGCTAGCACCGAGCAATGGCCAGTCACTCCACCTCCCCCTAACCCCCCCCCAAACCCCACATGGCGGTGTCTAATGGCCAATATTGTAGCTGCATAGCAACCAACAACATCAACCAAGGTCCTACCAATGCTGGCTTGGGGGGCCAACGGGTTATCTCTAGCTGGAGGGTAGTTTCCCGAAAGAAAGAAAAAAGAAAAAGGTAGGACACCCCCACCCGAGGCTAGGTCCCACTTACACGAATTAAGAGATATCTTGACCGTAGATAGCACAGATCGACGGTCAGAATCGCGTAATAGGTGCAAGTGGGACCTTGCCCCCGGACAAAAAAAAGTTTCCCGAAAAAAAAAAAAGTAAAAAAGAAAAAAGAAAAGAAAGTAAGACCCACCACTCCAAGACCGACGCTATCCTGCGATCGAGGACCATTGACGGGGTGTCTTGAATGACGCGCTCACTGAGGAAGGGCTATTATAGCAGGTATAGCTACTCCGTTCGGACCGTATCTCACCGGAAACATGGCTTGTCTACATTCAGGGTACGTTCTGTTCGGCGGAAGACGGTAGGAGTCTGGCGATATCCGTCTGTCATCAACAATGTAATTATAAAGTCTATAATATAATATAAGAATGAGAAGCAGCCGGAAACGACGGCCGCGTGTTGCAAAGCTTGTGGTGCCACGTGGCCTGGACGTTTTGGTACCACGTGGCGTAAAGCTTGTACCGCACTAAAGCTAGTGGTACCACGTGGCGTAAAGGTTGTGGTACCAGGTGTCTTAAAGATCGTGGTACCACGTGGCGTGAAGGTTGTGGTACCACGTGGCTTAAAGATCGTGGTGCAACGTGGCGTAAAGGTTGTGGTACCACAAAAGCTCGTGGTACCGCCCGTGTGGTGCCACGTCACATAAGAGTGTGGTACCGCGTGGCAGCAAAAAAAGTGGTACTACGTCTGTGAAGCTTGTGGGCCCACGTGGCATAAATTTCGTGGTGCCACTTGGCGTTGACGTAGACAACAACATGGTGGCGGGCGGTGTCAGCCACGTCGACGGTCATCAACGGTAGGAGTAGATGGTTTGTCTGATGGCCACGTGGCTGTGGTTGGCACTTAGGATTAGATAGGACGACGGGTACCGTTGAAATCCATGGAAGAGATTGGAGGGGAATACCAGAGAACTGGTGGCAGCCACGTGGCAGCTGATGGCGATGGCGATGGCGATGGTGATGATGATCGTCAACCTTCGGGAGGGGATACGCATGCAGACGAAAGGCAGCGAGCTTGCATGGTGCCCGTGGGCAAAGCTATGGCCGTTGCAAAGGCGCTGAAGGACATCCAGCTGGTTAAGGTGGTTGGACCGGACGTTGATTTTCGAGTCAAAATGAGGACCTTCTGGCGTGACCAGGTGAGCTGCACCTGCACAGCCGTGACGGTCATTCCTTTTTGTGGACACACCCACCTCTTTTTCCCGAGGGTACAAAGATGTTCGACCCGCGGTAGGAGTGTCCTTTTTTTTTTTTTTTTTTTTTTTTTTTTTTTTTGTGTGTGTGTGTGTGTGTGTGTGTAGGAGTGTTTTTAACTGCTGCTGCTGTCCGTGTTTTTTTTTTGTTTTTGTTTTTTTTAATATTTGGACCATTTCTCGATTTATGCGGTTCATCCTTGAAAGCGCAGGGGCCATGCTAATCTTCTTTCTCTGTATCGTTCCATATTTAACGGATGTCGCGAAGGACGTGCTGTCCGTTTTCGCCTGAACACAAGCCACGCTACTTGGGACTGTATCGGACCGGAAAGTTATCTTGTGTGGATATTCATGGTCGGAGTGCGCTGTGCTTGGAGGGGAGGGGATGGGGGGGGTGGTAAGGGGTACGTGTACGTGGATGCAACCTTGGGCGTTATGAATGTATCGAGCGCAGGTTTCCAGTCAGATGCAGTCGTAAGGATGTTGATGTCTTCTTCTGTACCCAAGGAAGCCGGCTGTCCGCAGCTTGATCCTTGCGACGCTCTGTTTGACGAAGTGCTGTAGTTACCCTGGGAGAGCACAGGGATGTGTGTGTGTGTGTGTGTGTGTTGTGTGTGTGTGTGTGTGTGTGTGTGTGTGAGAGAGAGAGAGAGAGAGAGAGA